TCATGCTAGAGAAGGAGGGGCAATCGCTTCCTGTGCCAGTTGGTTCAACTAGACAGTACACAAGGATGAAAAAAAGTTCAGTGCTTGATCACTTGGGACAGTACATTTAACCTGTTCTAACAACTGCCCTGGCAACCGACACCCTCAGCCTGCAGGCTCCAGGCCCATTGTTCACCCTTTATCATCAGTAGTGTGAGCCATTTTCTCCTGATGGTTTTTAGTTTCTATGACACCTTCAGAGAATCACTGAAACCATACATAGACAGGAGTGGGAAGACTGTAGCAAGGAGGAATAATTAATGCCAGAGACGATGGAATAATAGATAAGATTTTCCACCTTACTGGAACTAGTCTTGTACAACCCATGAAAAAATTTGTCATGAGAAGACTGTTTTAACTGTAGTAGCAACCCACCACTCATCTGTCAAGTTTCCTGTAGTATGATGGCATGTGTGTTGCTGTGATGCAGGCAGCTACACAGCAGTATACCACCAGTATTTTTAATGCCAGCAAGGTCACCCGTCAGTGGATAGGTTTTGGTGGAGCTAAGAGATGTACACAAACTATAAAAGCAGGATTGGCCATCCACTTCTGACATAACTGGCCCTCAAAAACCCTGTGAATGATGAAAGAACATAGGTTGCAGAACTGGATACGGTCCTGGAAGATGAGACACTCTGGTTGTAAAGTGCTGACAGTGCATCTGAAGGATGGCTTCCTCAACGCAGGGTCTCCTGTAATGACATGGATGGAGTAACATCTTCACCTAGTCAAAGACTTCCATATGCTGATGGGGCAAGACTCAAAATGAGGAGAAACGGCTGCAAACATCTGTTAATAATTAGAATATGGAATCAACAAAGTGCAACTCTAGGAAAACTGGAAGTTGTCAGAAATTGAAATTGAACTTAGATCTGCTGATCCCAGGCATATGTGAGTGAGATAGGTTGGCATTAGTCACCTTGAATCAGATCGTATCAGATACAATTATGCCAGAAATGACAAATTGATTAAAAATGGTGCTGCGTTCATTCTCAAGAAAACATTTCAAGATCTGTGCTAAAGTTCAATGCTGTGATAGGATACTATACACACATATAGAAGAACTGGTATTACAACTAGTATTCAAATATATCAACCACTAAAACCAAAGATGAAAAGCTTTCCTCCCAACTCAATGAAACGTTAAGAATCCACCAGCTGTTCATCAGGAGCCAGATGGGCATCTCCACTCCTGAGCTTCACTGCTTCTGAAAACTCACTGAAGGCACAATTTGACAACATACAATAAAAACAACTTTCCCAGTCTAAAATTGATCTTTCAGTCAAGATGCATTAATTGGTGACCAGAATGTAAAAATTGGAAACAGGAGGAAAGATAGTTGGACAATACAAGCTTGGTGACAAAAATGAGGCTGGAGATCACATAATAGAATTTTTTACAAGCAATGATGTTATCTATGGCAAATACCTTTATAAACACATACAAATGGCAACTATACACACGAAGCTCACAGGAATCAGATTGACTGCATTTATGGAAAGACCCAGTAAAGAAGCTATTTGTAGTCAAAATCAGACCAGAGGCCGACTGTGGAGCAGACTGTCAACTATTCATAGGCAGGTTCAAATTGAAGTTGAAGAAAATGAAGTCCACTTAAACCAAAACATGATCTTGGCATCTGTCTCATCTGAACTTAAAAATTGTGTCAACAACAACAACAAAAAAAACTTGTGTCAAAAGGATATTCCCAGGTGATCTCTGGTGGCCTAGTGACTAGAAGCTGCACTGCAATCCCAGAGGTGAGCAGTATGAATCCACCAGATGTTCACCTGGAGGAGGGACAATCTCCTCCTGTACCACCAGTGAGGTCTGATTTTCGGTACAACAACAAAAAAATAATAAAAAAATTTTAAAAAAGAGTATATTCCCAGTAGTGGAATTGCTGGGTCAAATGGTATTTCTATTTCCAACTTTTTGAGCAAGAGCCATACTGCCTTCCATAGTGATTGCATTTTATACTCCCACCAACAGTGAAATAAGGGTTCCCAGTTTCTCCCCAACATTTGTTGTTTCCTATTCTCTTAAATTTTGCTATTCTTACTGGGCTGAGATTTGCATCTCTCTTAGAGCTAGGGATTTTGAACATTTCTTCATATGTGTGTTTGCCATCTTAATGTCTTCTTTGGTGAAGTGTCTGTTCATATCCTGTGCCCATTTTCCAATTAGGTTGTTTACCTTTATGTTGTGGTACGTGGGCATTTTAGAAATTCTAGATATAAATCCCTTATCTGACATGACCAAATATTTTTTCCCAGTCTGTGGCTTCCCTTTTTACCCTGTTGGAGAAGTCTTTGGATGTGCATAGGGATTTGATTCTTAGAAGATCCCATTCATCTATTTTATCCTCTCCTTGTTGTAGGTTTTTCAGGGTACTTGGAAGACTGTTTATGTGTAGATTAGGACTACTAGAGTTCTTCCAAGCCTTTCTCTAATGAAGTTTATAATCCTTGGTTTTAGTCCTGTGTCCTTGATCCAAGCATATATATGTACATCCATGTTTACTGTGGCTTTGTTTACAATAGCAAAGAATTGGAAATACCAAATGACCATCAACAAACGAATAGATAGAGAAGCTCCGGTATATTCACATAATGGAATACTATGCTGCACTGAAAACCAAGGAACTCATGAAATATACAAAATGGGTGCCCTGTATGGTGTTATGCTTAGTGAAATTTCTCAGTCACAGAAGGACAAATACTGAATAATGCCACTGTTGTAAAGCAGAACTGACATCAGGACTGGAGGGAAAATAATCAGAGGGGATAAATAATGTATACTGCATTGAAACAGATGAGGGAGAGAACTGTTTAAAAGGGATATATGATTAGGTATTATTGTCATGATACGAGTCCAAAATGAAAGCTGCACAAGTGGAGTGGACTAGGGTGTGGTGGGATTGTAGAACAATGAAAGAATTTTTTTTTTTACTTTTCAAAGAGAAAGGTGACCTGGGGGGGAGGCGTGGGCGGGGAGCAAAAGTGTGCAGCAAGGAATGAGTGGAAACTGAAAAATACTGTGTCAAGAAAAGATTTGATGTACTGAACACTAATGACCAAAGATCAGATAGATAAATTATGGGATGGCATCAAAGACATCAACCATGAAGAAAATTGAAGGTCATTACAAAAAAAAAAAGAATACAATCACCAGCTTAGGGGGAAAAAATGCCTGAAGGACAGAGAAGGTGTAGAATATCTTACTGACTGAATGAAAAATATTTTCCAAACTAAACTTCACCTACTATAGGTGGAGGAAAACACGATTTTAATTGCCTCTGCAGTCTAACTTTAGCGATTCTTTGTAAATAAAAAAAGTACAAATTACCTTCAAAACATTTTCAGGACAGGAAATAGATTTAGTTAATCCTCTAATGTCATGCGGTTTTTTTTTCTGAGAAGGGAAAAAAAACCCTAACCACACAGACCTGAGTGTTATGGACACCTAAAACATTTGAGCGCTGAAAAATGAATACACTATACATACTTATTTGGGTTTATTTATTTATTTATATATAGAATACAATTATTCAAAATTATCAAACAGCATTAACACACGTAACACAGTTGGTATATTAACTGTTCACATACATGAATAAATATTTAAAGAGGCAAATATAGCTTTTTAAAGCTTCATTAAGACTAATGACAGGTACAAATAATTGCATTTCTAAGTTAATAACTGTAATTAATGCTTTATCTTCTACCTGAAATGATTAAGCAGCTATACATTTAATCTACACAGCAGCAAATACAAAAGCATTTTAAGTACATGTGAACTGTACAATGTACTGCAAGCAGAAGCTTTATTCTACAGCATTTCTCACTCACTTGGCCTGAGTTTCCAGGTAGACGACATTCTAGCCACCAAAAACCCCAAATCACATCCACAACTAATGAGGTATAAAAATCTAATCTGCATGTACTCTGAATAGAAATGATTTCTGAATGTGACAGAAGAATGCTGGCTACTTTTGACATACTTGGAATTTCCCAGCTTAGCCACTAATTAGCTGTACGAGCTATATAAATCTGCTTTTAAGCTTTTTCATTTATAAAATGAGAACTGGATTAAATTTTGCCTAAGCACTTACTCAAGCTCAGTATTTTGCATTTTCTTCCTGACCCAAAGTTTAATATACTTTTGTTTTCCAAAATTAACTCTCAAAATCATTTAGAAAATAATTGCTTCTAAACCATGATTTTCCTTTTCATAACTATCATTTAATCCTTCCGAGTCCCCAACATTTCCACTGAACCCATTCTTCTGCATGTGTATATGATGACTAAAATAACATTTACTCTCTTGGTAGGGAAGACCACCCCTACTTAGGGAAGATTACAATCTAACTGAACATTAAGCGAATATACTCCATCGCCAATCTGCATTCCTCTGAAGGCTCTGGGTCTCTACCTCCATGCACAATCTACACTAATGTCCATCAAATTCTCTTTACCTGGTTAAGTTCCTTATCTTCCTATAAAAGGGAAAACATGATATGAATTTCCAAACAGCTGGCATCTAAGGGACCTGACCAGACAAAATTACAGAACAGCCAAGTTCTTTGCAGTTTCCTGAAGTGCAAGGCATCAGAATATGAAAAGGCAGTCATCCGTTTCCACTGATACATTTTAAAACAGCTTAAGTACTAACATAGCTTGAAAATCAACATGCCAAGCAAATAGTTTCACTTGCAGCCTAATTTCACAACTACACAGCAGAGTTAGATAAAGCTAAAATATACACTTCTCTAACTCACTACCCACATTCAGTAAACCCTCCTGCAATTCATTCAAACAAATGTATTAATGGGCTTGACAAAATAAGGAATAAAAAAAATGGCAACTGGTAAAATTTAATTCATGCCAGACTAACACTGGAAACGTTAAATGGGAAGTACAGACACACACACACAATACACACACACACACACACAAACTTTACAAAAGTTGTAATACTGTTAACTTCAAATTAGCAATGATCAAAGTGGGACTTTCATGCCATAAGTCCCATTTTCAGTCAAAATCACGATTTGTAAGAACAAGTGGTGCCACCAGGGTCCAAACATACAGCACGATGCCAATCCAACTGGAAGAAATTTTCACCCAGACAGCTGTCCACTGACTTTTCATCTCACGAGAAGGTTCATACCTAATATTTAAGGAAAACAAAAAGGAGTCGTTGTGTTGGATTATTAGTAACTTCAAATCTGCTGCCTTATTTTCCATACTGCTTTCATAGTTGGTGTTAAGTATTAAAGATCACTGAAAAAGATCAGTAATATTCTTTAATGCGCTAAAGTATAAAAGCCTTTGCAGCCACTTCCCAAATGTCTTATTATAAGGCAGGGAGGAAATGTACTCCAAACTTTGGGGATTAGTTAATGAAATAAATGAAAAAAGATTTTCAAATATATTGTTACTTGACAGCCAAAGCTTTCAATTACTGAGACCTACTTAGATTTTTATAGCTAGATATATTCTAGTATAGAGATTGTTCTTCACAGAGAAATGAGGCAAAGAATATTTTTTCCCTTGAATCTTTTGCTAGTACCAAAAATCTTTAGAAATTACACGTAAGGATCAAATTATAAATAAAAATGTCCAAACCATATAGTGGCTCTTATGCCAAAGCTTTCGGTAGTCATTTGGACAAAATTGAAAAATGAAGTAATGTAAATTGCTACCTTATTGTTATAAGATGTGTAGAATAACTATGAAATGGTTTTTTTTAAAGTATATAATTACAACTTGAAGAACTCTAAAAAGACACTACATTAATGTATCTGTGCCCCAACTTTAAAGTCTCCAGAACTTTTAAAGACAGACCTAACAGAAGGAATGTGCTATAATTTACTATTGTATGTCAGGAACTGGCTATGCAAATAGACATATTTGTACTGGATAAATTTCAATATGCATTCCATTTAATATGTCAAGAAATGCACTTACAAAATTTTCTATTTTAATCATTTTAAGATTTGAAAGTATTTCAATGTCATTATTTAAGCAAAGAAGTAAAATTTTCAGATCTCATTTTGATCTGTCCCTCCACCCTCCCAAGAATGATGTCCCTCTCCAAGGACGGGTCCCTCCTTGCAACATGTCCAAAGTATGTCAGATGAAGCTTCAGAATCCTTGCCTGGTACTGTGATAGATGGACTGAAGAGGAGAGAAAGACCCTTGGTGAGATGGACTGATTCAGTGACTGGGGTAATGGGGTAGGTGTGTCAGAGACAGTAAGGTTGGCACAGGATAGAGCAGGGTTTAGGGCTGCTGTACATAAGAGTTGCTGGGAGTCACTTGGGTACCTAACAACAACAGCAGCAGCAGCACACTGACTTCACTAGTCATCTAGTTGTACAGTTTGTAATTCACTGGAGAATAAAAAGTATTTCTTCTCACACAAGTTTTGCAATGAAAATGTCAACAAAATTCCCACGGCCAAATTTTCATGAGATTGAAGTACCTGTACCAGTTGGTAAGGGTCATCATGATATAAAGTGAAGCCAGGAAAAGCATAAAGTGAAAGAAGGAGTAGCTGTAAGTGACACCATCTCGTTCATTATCTATAGCCCGATGAGTCTCATCTCCATCCTCCAGAGAACCATCACTTCTGGCTCCACCATCATCTATTAATGTTGATTCATCACTTGTTAGTGTCAATTTATTGACCTGACTATTGTTTGAAGTGCGGATGCTGTAGGAGAAAGCAAGATTTTGGGAAGAGAAGTTAAGAAATGATTAATAAATGAATAGCTGGATTTCTTCTTAAAAGGAAGTATCAATCAAATCATACTTTCCTTACCTTGAATAAAACACACACAATAAAAAGAGGATGAGTCCTATAATTCCTTGAGCATGCCACCACTGGACAGACTGCCCATCCTTGGGAATAGAGCTCGTTGTGTTGTAACCAATTATGCTTAACAGACTTGGGTTGCAGTTTGTTTCTATGATAAAAAAAAGTAGGATCAAATCAAAATGGTACAAAAGCATGAAATTATGTGATCTTTAGGACATAAATGGAATTGTTTTTAACTTTTTATCAACAGCACCCTTGAAAATGTAAATATTTTTCATGAGTTTGTATGTATTACCAAAAAGACTGGAAACAACTGTTTATTAATAATGAGATTTTTTTTCCTCGCACGAATCAGTAGCGCCAGTTTTACAGAAGTACTTGGAAAAGTGAAATCATTTCACTTTTAATGTTTCACAGTAGCTGAAAGATATTATAATCTTTCTATAGATAAGGAAGGCGACAAGGTGATGCAGGGGTTAGGTGCTCGGTTGTTAACTAAAAAGTGAATGAAAATAGGTAAGGAAATGGGTGAAATTTAGATAAAAGTCAAATACAGTTAGGAGTAAAAGTGAGATGCCCTAAGCCACCATAGATTCTGATGAAATTAGTGAAGTTTATCAATCTGACAAAGCACATGATTGTAGAGAGTAAATAAAATAGCTTACACAAATAAGCATGGGGGAAACAATCAATTATTAGAATCCTAGCAAATGAATTTTGGAAATGACCATGTAAGCAGTAATAAACTAATGACTATTCAGTTTTCCATACATAAGATTTAAAAGAGTTGGTAAAGAATTCACTGAATGTCCAAAAATTCTTTTTTCCTCCGAGTGAGGAAAGTCAATTAGTCTTATCACTAAAATGATTCTTCCTTTAAGTCACATAAAACCAATCTCCAAAGTAAATTACAAGTATTTTTTTCTTAACAATAAGCTAGAAAATAGTACTAAGTATTCTCTCTTGCTGTGTCCTGCCAAGTCAGTACTAACTAAATAGATGACCCTCAAGAGGGTTTTCAGAGGCAGTAAATAGCATGGGAGACTATTTTCTTCCAATGGAGCACTTGTGGATTTGAACCATGTACCTTTGGGCTTGGAGTGCAGTTCCTTATCACTTAGCCATATGAGCTCCCTGTAGTATTGTCTAGTGTAAGTATATTTAAAAATAAAATAAAATCAATCAACCAAAAAACCCAACCAAACCAACAAAAAACCCAAAATGTAACTCAAAATTTCTTCTTACTAGTGATAAAGCACCTGAAGAATTTATAAAGCTCAATTATAATAGCCAGATTCATTTAATGATCTTATCTGAAATACTAATAAATATCTTGTTAGTGGCTATCTACCTTTCTGAAATTGTCTCCTGTCTTATGGGATGCAATATTAGGTCAACACAAAGTCAAAGTATTTTATCCAATCCAAAAAAGAATTCATTATGGCAAAATGATACTGTTTGTAACTGGTTCAAAAGCATTTGAACAGCTTTTTTTTTCATATATAACCAACTACTTTATGAGCCATGCAAGACAGATATAGCTCTTGTAATTTTCAAATAATTTCTTATAACCTTCTCCTGTTAGTTAGCAAAGGAAAATACCAAATTAAATAATAAAGCAATATATCAACTATGGAAATATTATTTCCATCTCTTTTATTACTCCAAGAACTTAATTTTAAAATAACTTTTTTTTTTAAAAAAAAAAAAGTAACTTATTTTTACAAAATCACCATCTTGGGGGGAAGAAAGGAAAACTGTTAAGTCACTGAAAAAGAATAGAAGAAAACAAGGCATACCTGGTTCATTTGTCATTGCAGACCACGTCAAATACATTGTGTAGACTGTAATTACTGAAGACTGTAATAAACCAGATCTTGGCTGTGATTCCTACAGAAAAAACACGAAGCATCAGATATCTATTCTGACATCATTCAAGGTTTATGAAAAGTTAACCCCCACCCTCCCATTCTCAACTTCACTAAAAAAATAGAAGCTTCAGAGAAGAGCATACTTGGATTTTGGGCAGTATAGACATTACAGAAGCACCAACGCAGAGCAGCATGTTCACACTGATGAACGCCTTATTCTCTGAACAACTGTCTGGATGAGTGTAGTAGACAAAGAAGAGGACTATCGCAACTAAAGACAGCAGATAGTTCAGAGCTGTAGCTGACAACAAAGCTGTGGAAAAAACAGACACTTAGATGCTGTCATAAATATTACAAACAGGCTCTTTAAAAACAATAATTTTATTTAAAAAAATGTTTTTACTGAGACATCTTAACAGGATTATGTGGCCTATAAAGCAAGAAGAAAATGAATTCTAAACTTTTTACTACTGAAGAAACTCATACCCTTTACACATACTTCACGACTAAAGTATAAAGTATCAAGGGCCATGAAGAGCAAACTAAAGTAGGAACACTAAGTAATTAAAAAAGAGAATGATTCCACCCTTGTTTTCTTTTGATGTGCACATGGTTCAAGCTGTAAGTCCATTTGTTTTCTTTATGCTTAAGAGTAATCCATACAGAAGGCTGCATAATCTTTGAACTTGTGCAGCAGGGCCTCTTCACTTTCCCCAAACAGGCTGTTTCTGAGACCTCTTCCAATCCTGATGCCACTTTCCCCTTCACATAGTACAGCTTCTCCAATGATATATGCTCAGCATACAGACTGAGTAGGTATGGACACAAGTCTGATATACATTTTCTGATTTTCAAATAGTCACCTTTATAATTCTATTTGAATGACTGCTTCTTGGTATATGTACAGTCTCATAAAGAAATTAAGGTGTGATGGGACTCCCAGGATCCACACAGTCAGATGAACCAAATCAACATCTTTCTGGTCTTCTCTGCTTTCTGCCAAAATGTATCTGATATCAGCAATGATAGAACTTATTGTATAGCCTCTTCTGAATCCAGTGTGAATTTTTTGGCAGTTACCTACTGATGTGCTGCTGTTGTTGTTATGTACCATCAAGTCGCTTGCGACTCATAGCGACCCTATGTACAAGAGCTCTATACACTCTTCTATCCTGTGCCAACCTAGCCATCTCAAACACACTTATTCCCACCTCTGTAGTCACAGAATTGATCCATCTCATCAAAGGTCTTCCTCTCCTTCGCCGCCCCTCCACTCTGCCAAACATGATGTCCCTCTCCAAGGACCAGTCCTTCCTTGCAACATGCCCAAAATATGTCAGAGGAAGCTTCAGAATCCTTAACTCCAGGGAACATTCTGGCTTCACCCTCTCCAGGACAAAACCTAGCAGTCCAGGGTATATTCAACACTCTTTTCTCCAGCACCACAGCTCAAAGGCATCAATTCTCTATCAACCATATTCACTGTCCAACTCTCTGATGCACAGCACGTAATTGTGAAGACTATAGCCTGGATCAGGCGCACCTTAGTCTCCAGTCTGACATTCTTGCTCTTCAGTACTCTTGAGAGGTCCCTAACAGCCGACTTTCCCAATGCAATTCATCTCTTGATTTCCTGGCTGCTGTTACCAAGAGTGTTGACTGTGGAGCCAAGTAAATTAAAACTGTTAACTATCTCAATCTCCTCACCATCCATGCTGATGCTGCCAATTGGCCCAGTGGTTAGAATCTTTGTTTTCTTGATGTTGAGCTGGAGGCTGTAGTCCTTGATCTTCTGCAGCAAGTGCTGCAAGTCCTCCTCAGTTTCAGCAAGCAGGGTTCTGTCATCTGTGTAACGCAGGTTGTTGATGATTCTTCCACCAATCCTGATGCCACATTCCTCTTCGTATAGCCCAGCGTCTATTTTTAATAATCTTCAATATTTTACTTGTTACAAATGATAGTTTGATAATTTCCACATTCTGTTATTTCTGGGAATGGAAATAAATCTGGATCTCCTCTATCAGGAAAGGAGTGCATGAGGGAAGTATCCTTCAATCCTTCAATTGAAAAGTATACTTTTCAATCTAAATGCAGAAAATGGTATCAGGTTTGAAGGAAGACTGATCAACAATCTGTGTTATCCAGATGACACAATCTTGCTGCTAAAACAGAAGGATTTGAAGCATTTCCTGCGAAAGGTTAAGGACTGCAATCTTCAGTATGGATTGAAGCTCAACATCAAAAAAACAAACGACAGGCCAAACGACAGATAGTGAAAAGATGGAGATTGAGATTGTTAATGATTTCATCTTTTGTAGATCCACAATCAACATTCTTGGCACCAGCAGTCAAAAAATCAAAAGACAGGTTGCTTTAGTCAAGTTTGCCAGGGACCTCTACAGAGTGCTAAAAAGCAACAATGTCAGTCTAGTGATTAAAGTGCACCTGATTCAAGCTTTGGTCTTCTCAATTGCTTCCTACGCATCTGAGAGCTGGACAATGACTAAGGATGACAAAAGGAGAACTGATGTCTCTGAGTTGTGGTGCTCGAGAAGAATACTGAACGTATCATGGACTGACAAAAGAAAAACAGATCTGTCCTGGAGACGGTGAAACTGGGTTGTACCTGGATGCAAGGGTTTTGAAACGGTCTCACATCTTTACGGCATGTTGCCAGCTGGTACCTCCTTGGAGGACATTATCCATGAAAGGGTGGAGGGACAACGCACAAGAGGAAGACTGTGTGTGAGATGGACTGACATACAGTAACTGACAATGGGACCAGGTGTGACAGAGATGGTCAGGTTTGCTCAGGATAGGGCAGAGAGTTGAGAGCCATTGTTCCTGAGGTCACCGTGAATCATAATCAACTTGATGGCACATAACAAAAATCACCACCACCACCACCAATCAGTTGGCCAGGCAGCTGTCTTCCAAATTTCCTGGCAGTGTGGTAAGCACCTCTAGGCTGTATCTGCTGTTTGTTAAAACATGTCAATTGGTATTCCATCTCGGGGCTTTTTTTTTGTCAAGTCCTTCAGTGCAGCTTGGATTTCTTCCTTTAGTACTACTGGTTCTTCATCATGTTACTTCTTGAAATGGTTCAGTTATCAACTATTCTGTTTGATACAATGTTTCTGTATATCCCTCCAATCGCCTTTTAATTCTTCTGTACTGAAGCATCAGTATCTTTCAGCATTGCTTGATTTCTTGAGAAATTCTAAGTGTATATACTTTCCTTTTGCTGTTCTGACTTCAGGTCTTTGCAAATTTTGTCTTTTCCACATGCTCAATGAACATATCTGTTCAGGTCTCTTCTCCAAGACAAGAATTTTTTTAGGTGTTACTGATAAATGTATTTTTTTATTTATCTATAAAATGACTTAGTATTGCTTTTTATATTTTTTTTGTTTGCTTGTTTATGAATTATAATACTGAATATTTTACCTGTTTCTAGCAATGTCCTTCTCTTTAATATTTTAATCTGTTATACACTAGAGGATAAAAAAAATTAAAATAAAAAGAAATTTGGTGGTGAAAAATTAGAAAATGTACATGCTTTCAATAGTTCGTTTTTTTTTGACATTTTATCAATTAAGGCCTTTTTGTTATTTCCTAGTTCTTGATTAAGTTTTTAGTAGATATGCAAGAAGATCTCTCAACAAGTTATTGGATAATAAAATACCATTCTGCAACTATTACACTAAAATCTTGTTGAAAGGAAATTAGGTAATAAAAAACCATACAGCTCACGTATCTGCGCTAGCCTTCAAGGTTCATGATCATGAATACGTTCTGTGAAATGAAAGCTTACCTGCATACCAACATCGTGAGTTGCCTTCTTCCATTTTTTCAACCCAAGATTCATTCCATGAATGGGCAAAATCAATAAGCAAGACAAGCTGAATGAGGATGAAGCAAAACGCACCTGCCATGCCCACATAAAACCACACTGAAAGGAAAACATACATATAAATGCCTGGCTCGATTTTTATTTTCACAATCACAGTAAAAATAAGAAAAAGGAAATTTTATATTAAACTTAATTCTGTCAATTATTTCTATCTAGTGTATAAAAAAATAAGTACTGTTATAATTCCAGGCAGCCATGATGTCAGTTTTTTTTAATAAAAATCAATACTAATGGGAAAGATTTGGCATGAAAAACAGTGTATACAATCTCTGTAATAAGTAAACCAGTGTAAAATAAGAATTTTATTTAAAAATAAAATCAGTACTATAGAATTAAAAAGAGAAAATCCTTACCAGTTGTAAAAGTTCCTTCTGGAATAAAGAATGCCCCAATAATAATAGCAATTGCTGCTGCAAATTTAAAGAACCAGAATCTAAAACAAAAAAATAAATTTTTAAAATGATTACACAATAATTTGATATAAGAAATGTTTTTGGAGTACCTTACAAAGTAGCTTTGTATTATTCTTTTTGAAGCTTTCTATCCTGAAAACAGACTTACTTAAACTGCTTTTGAGATATTTCCAGAAAAATTGTATCTGATTAAGTTAAAAAAAATGGGGTAACATATGAAAGTATGCTGTTGTTGTTAAATGCTGTCGAGTGGACCCTATAAACAGTGATCTGAACCTCCTATGCCATCTTCACACTTAACACACTAGAGCCCACTGCAGCAGTCACTGTCTTCACTGGGTTTTCAGAAGCCTGTTATTTAAGAAGTGGATGTCCAATCCTGCTTCCCAGTCTGTCTTAATCTGGGAGCTCTACTAAAACCTGTCCACCATCATTAACTCTTATGGCATCTGACACACCAGTGGCACTATCACAGCAACTCACAAGTTATCACTGTAGAGCAAACTAACAGACAAGCGCTGTACCAATAGAAAAATGTTCTCCCCAAATACAACAATCTACCAATTTAGTTTGTATCACATGCAAGTAAGATTCTGCTGAAGATTATCAAAAACAACTGAGAGCGCACATCAACAGAGAATTGCCTGAAGTGCAGGCTGGATTTAGAAGAGGCCGTGGCACTAGGGATATTATAGCTAATGTAAGATGGATCTTGGCTGAAAGCAGAGAGTACCTGAGGAATGTCTGTGTTTCACTGACTAAGCAAAGGCATTTGGCTGGTGGAACACAACAACCTGTGCCTGATTCTGAGAAGAATGGGAATTCCAGAATATTTGATTGTGCTTATGTGAAACCTGTACTTGAACCAGGAGGCAGTCCTCAGAAACAGAGCAAGGACACACTGCATGGTTCAAAATCAGGAAGAGTATGTGTCTACAATGTGTCCTATCTCTGTATCTTTTCAATCTATATGTGGAACAGATTATTCTGGAGGCTGGGCTCTATGAGGAGAAGTGTGGCATCAGGATTGGAAGTAGACTCATCAACAGTCTGTGTTATGCAGATGACATAACCCTGCTTGCTGAAACTGAGGAGGACCTGAAGTGCTTGCTGCAGAAGGTCAAGGACTGCAGCCTTCAGTATAGACTGAAGCTCAACCTCAAGAAAACAAAGATTCTCCCCACTGGGCCTATTGGCAGCATCATGACAGATGATGAAGAGACTGAGATTGTTGAAAGCTTCAGTTTGCTTGGCTCTACAATCAACACTCTTGGTACCAGCAGCCAGGAAATGAAAATATGAATTGCACTGGGAAAAGTCTGTTGTCAGAGACCTCTCCAAAGTATTGAAGAGCAATGATGTCAGTCTGGAGACTAAGGTGTACCTGAGAGCCATGGTCTTTGCAATTACTTGCTATGCATCAGAGAGCTGGACAATGGCTAGGAATGATAGAAGGAGAGTTGATGCTTTTGATCTTCGGTGCTTGAAAAAAAGAGTACTGAATATACGCATGGATTGCTAGGAGAACAAACAAGTTTATGCTGGAGAGGGTGAAGCCAAGCTGCTCCTTGGAGGCAAGGATTCTAAAGCTTCATCTGACATATTCTGGACATGTTGTAAGGAGGGATCAGTACCTGGAGAGGGACATTATGCTTGAGAGGGTGGAGGGATAACAAAGGAGAGGAAGACCCTTGATGAGATGGATTGATTCAGTGACTGGGGTAATGGGGGGTAAGGTGTGTCAGAGACATGAAGATTGGCACAGGATAGAGCAGGGTTTGGGGCTGTTGTACATAGGGTCACTATATAAGTCGAAGGCAGCTCAATGCACGTAACAATGACAACATCAACAAGATAAATTTTATAAATAAACACTGTATTATTTTTAAAAATGTACATGGTAAATTCCTCTATTCAAAAATTGATAAAAATTTAAATTCATCAATGACTAAAATAACAAATTCTCCAATGACTTTTTTCCATTAATATTTACATTTTACCTGTTCGTTTTTCCTCTCTTTGGTAGCACATGCTAGTACGTAAGCAATAACAAATACTTAAGAATATTTTCTCCTTAATATGGGGTGGAGGGGAAACAAGAACATTAAAGTTTGGCCATATTTAAATTATCAGAACCAGAAGTAATACTTGTAATACAGGATACTAAGACTGGGACCATTATTTTCTTCTTCTCCTTGGTTAGCCAGTAAATTTAAAGGTTTAGAACAATCAATCTCCCTTGTTAGGAATAAAGGTTTTCAATCTGCTGTACTAAAAGGTCTAGGGAACCACACCAGGACTAGTCCACCAAAAAGTCAGAGGAGGAGGAAAAGAGAAGAGTTCCCTATTAACAGTCACAAGAAAAAGAGAAGAGTTCCCTATTAACAGTCACAAATGTAACAGATCTTTTTTAGGATAAATATATAAAGTATCATGAATAAGAGAGTATGCCAATACATAACTCAAAGCTATTAATATTTTTCTTTTCAAAGTCTGACAATCTTTAGTAAAAAAGAGGAATTTCTTATTTTGACATCAACAATGGACAAAATAATTCTGCAGGTTATATGTAAATTTACTTTAAGTTTCTGTAGACAGATTTAAAATTACTGAGAAGTGGCTCCTCAGACTTCAAAACTTACCCATTGTGCACGGCAGCTCTAGGATCACTGCTGCTTTTCACTTTAATCATGAGTAAAGAGAGGAGAAGATAGAACATAGCCAAGCCAAAGCACAAACGGTAGACGGCTTTATAGCCAACCAGAATATTGCAAGGGACGACACCCTTCTCATTCTCACAAAACCCAGGGATCTATAAAACAAGAGTTTGTATTTCAGAATTTTTCAGCAAGTAAAAATGAAAGTATAAACTTACCAGGTTATTTCCCCCTTAAGAAATTTCTTTGCAAGCAATTAAAAAAAAAAAAATTGGAAATGTGAAGTTCATCTTACAATGAACAGTCAACAGAAGGTTGGTGCATTTTAATCAACTAGCGTGAAAAAAGGAAGGTCCGGTGGCCTAGTGTAAGGACCTACACTGCCAACTCAAAGGCATGTGGGTTTCAATCAACCAGCTGCTCCACGGGGGAAAAAGATGGGCAACCTCCTCTTACACAGTCAACATCCTCGAAAAACATGCTGGTGAGCCAGTTGAGGTAGTTTCAGCTCTATGTCACATAGTAACAATGATATATATATTGTATGCATTATGAAAAGGAAAAAAATAAGAATTTAAAGACTCAAAAGTAACTGAATCTAATTAAGACTAAAAAATTTTCAACTAATGTTACTTAAAGCCATTTTTAATTTTGGTTCTTTACTCTGTAAATATAATTTGAATGGATTTGACATAAGATGGCAGTGGTTTTGTTTCTTGAAAAACTTATGAGAGTTTCAGAAAGTAACAATGGACTCAAGAGTGCAAAATTTTTCTTTTAAGTAAAATATAAGTACTTTTCACATTATATAAGCATATATTGTTCTCAAATGTGTGAGAGTGGATTATTTCTTTTAGGCAACATGAAAGCAAATATACTACCATAATTTAAACTGCTTTTTTTAATACCAAGGTATTTTGGGTGTTGTTTTTTTTTAATGCTTTGTCTTTTTATGCATTGTATTATTTTGTTTTCCTGTTCTCTATAGTCTATAACCCTTTCTTCTTTTGATGCATTCTGGGTCATTTAAAATGTTGCCTATAGCATGTTTCAATATTGCCAAGTCGAGACTTAAATTTCTTTTTCAGTTCTCTCGGCTTGAGAAATGCAGAACAAGTTCTTCCTTTTTTATTCTCCAATTTCAGCTCTCTGCCTATTCCATTATAATTTTCTCTGTCTTCCTGAGCTGCCCTCTGAAAGCCATCTGTTCAGCTCTTTTACTTCGGCATATTTTCCCTTTGTTTTGGCTTCTTGACACTTTAATGCAACGTTCAGAGTCTCTTCTCACATACATTTTAGTTTTTTCTTTCTCCTTGTCTCTGAAATGACATTTTGCTTTCTTCATAGATGATATCCTTGATATCATTCCATAGCTCATCTGGTCTTATGATTGGTGTTCAATATTTCTTTAAGTATTAAACGTTTATTTTAGAAAATTAGAGGGGAAAAAAATCAAGTCACTGAATACCCCGCTGGTGCAACAACTAAGTTTTAGGTTGCTAATGGTAAGGTCAGCTGCTCAGATCCACTCAGAAGCTCCTAGAGAGGACGCTGGCAATCGGCTGACAGGTTTAAAACCCCCGTGAGCAGTCAGTGCTATTCTGCCACATGAGGTTGCTAAGTCTAAAGGTGACGTGATGGCCCCTAACAGTTCTACTCTTGAGGGAAATTCACTTTGTATCTTAATTTCTTTTCAGTTTGTAAAAAGTTGAAATTCTACTGTATATAATTTTGTAGTAATGACTTGGTAAGCATTTAAATAATTTTTCCTTCTGGTTTTAGATTTACATTGTTTCTATACTTTTGATTTGATGTAATACTATTTGTTTTGGATTGATTTCTATGGGCAGGATTACTAGATAAAGTCATTGTAAGCTAGCTTTCCAAGAGTTCTGTCATTTTGTTGTTGTTATGTGCTGTCATGTGGCCTGTGACCCACAGCAACCCTACGTAGAGCAGCTCTGAACCCTGTCCTATCCTGAGCCAGTCTCACTAATTCTGATACACCAGCCCCCACTATCCCAGTTCCTGTATCAATCCTTCTCATCAGGGGTTGTCCTCTCCTGTGCTGTCCCTCCACCCTTCTGAACATGATGTCCTTCTCCAAGGACTGGTCTCTCCTGGCCACATGCGCAAAGTATGCTTCAAAATCCTAGCCTCCAAGGAGAAACTTAGTTTCACCCTCGACAAGACAGACCTATTTGTTTTCATGGCAGTCCATGGTATGGACTTTTCTCCGGCACAGTTTGAAGGAATCGATTCTTCTTCTGTCATTTTTAGTCCCTGTCCAGGTCTCTGAAATAAAGCAAGTAATTGTGAATACCATGGCCTGGTCAGGTGAACCTTAGTCTCTAGACTAAAATCATTGCTTTTCAGCACTCTGGAGAGGTCGCTGATAGCAGATTTTCCCAATGCAATTTGTCTTTTGACTTCCTGACTGGTGTTAAGAGAGTTGATAGTGAAGCCGAGCAAGCTATAACTGTTAACAATCTCAATCTCTTCTCCATTTATCACAGTGCTGCCAATTGGCCTAGTGCTAAGAATCTTTGTCTTCTTGATGTTTAGCTTCAATTGACATTAAAGACCAAGATCTTCTTCAGGTCTTCTTCAGTTTCAGCAAATAAGGTAACCATTCCCTATACATAATCATACTGGGCAAGGGCAAACTACCTGTCAAAATTGTAATTTAAATGAGTGGATGGTGTTCAATATTTCAAACCTATTCTTAAGATGATCTTGAAATTCAAATGGAATAGATTCAAAATCATATTTTGGTTTTCATGGGCTTATTTTCTTCAGCCTTAGTTTGAAACTTGCACATAAGTAATTTATGATCTGACCCATAGTCCACCCCGGCCTACTTTTGGGTTTGTTTTTCTTTTTTTACCCAACTGAGTGTGGAAACTACAGAACAATATCATTGACTTCACATGCAAGCAAGACTCTACTGAAGATTATCCAAAAACGACTGGAACAGTACATCAGCAGAGAACTGCCAAAAGTCCAGGCTGGGTTTAGAAGGGGTTGTGATACTAGGGATATTGTAGCTGATGTCAGATGGATCTTACCTGAAAGCAGAGAATACCAGAAGAATGCCTATCTGTGTTTCATTGATTATGCAAAGGCATTTGACTGTGTGGATCATAACAAACTGTGGCTGACTCTGAGAAGAATGGGAATCCCAGAACATTTACTTGTGCTAATGCGAAATCTATACTTGGACAAAGAGGCAGTCGTCAGAACAGAGCAGGGCAACACTGCATGGTTCAAAACTGGGAAGGGTGTACGCCAGGGATGTGTCCTATCTCCATACCTTTTCAACATGTATGCAGAGCAGATTATCCGAGAGGCTGGGCTCTATGAGAAGCGTGGCGTTAGGATTGGTGGAAGATCGATCAACAATCTGTGTTATGCAGATGACACAACCTTGCTCACTGAAACTGAGGAGGACCTCATGCACTTGCTGAAGAGGGTCAAGGACCGCAGCCTTCAAAATGAACTGAGACGCAATGTCAAGAAGACAAAGATTCTCACCAATGGACCAATCGGTAGCATCAGGATGGATGGCGAAGAGATTGAGATTGCTCATAGCTTCAGTTTGCCCGGCTCCACGGTCAACACTTTTGGCACAAGCAGCCAGGAAATAAAAAAACGTACTGCGATGGGAAAGTCTGCTGTTAGGGACCTCTCTAAAGTACTCAAGGGCAATGGTGTCTCTCTGGAGACTAAGGACCGCCTGATACAGGCCATGCTCTTTGCAATCACTTGTTATGCATCAGAGAGTTGGACAATGACTAGGGAGGATAGAAGGAGAACTGACGCCTTTGAGCTGTGGTGCTGGAGAAGAGTATTGAATGTACCCTGGACTGCCAAGAAAACAAACAGATTCATCCTGGAGAGGATTAAACCAGGCTACTCCTTGGAGGCAAGGATTCTGGGGCTTCGTCTGACATACTTTGGACATGTTGTAAGGAGAGACAGGTCCGTGGAGAGGGACATCATGCTTGGTAGGGTAGAGCGATAGCGGAGGAGGGGAAGACCCTCTATGAGGTGGATTGATTCAGTGACTGGGGTAATGGGGATGGGTGTGTTAGAGGCAATGCAATTGACACAGGATAGAGCAGGGTTTAGGGCTGTTGTACTTAGGTTCACTATGAGTTGGAAACGACTCGACGGCACATAACAACCACAACAACATATTTTATTTTAGTGAGTTTACAGAGACTTTGGATTTCCAGTCATTCATTGTTGCACAATTTCCTCCCTGCCCACCCCTCACCCCCAGTTTGCTTTTCTCTTTGAAAAGTAAAAACAAAACACAAAAAACACCACCAAAAAACCCCAAACTTAAATTCTTTCACTGTGATACAATTGCTGTCCCCCCTTACACGCACAACCGCCCCTCGCTACTCCACTATGCAGCTTTCATTCTGGACTCTCTGACATGACAATTAATACTCAATCATACATTCCTCCTAAACAGTTTTCTCCCTCACCTGTTTCAAAGCAGTATACATTATTTATTCCCTCCTAGTTTTCCCCCAACTCCAATGTCAGTTCCCTTTTACAACAGTAGCACTATACAGTATTTGTCCTTTTGTGACTGAGCTATTTCACTCAGCATAGTGTCCTCTAGGGTCACCCATTTTGTATAGTATCTTACGAGTTCCTTCCTTATTTTTCAATGCAGCATAGTATTCCGTTGTGTGACTATAACACAGCGTCTCTAGCCATTTATTTGTTGATGGGCACCTGGGTTGTTTCCAGCTCTTTGCTCTTGTGAACAAAGCCACAATAAACATGGGTGTGCATATATCTGCTTGAGTGGCAGGCCTGGCCTAGTTTTGACTGTTGATACTATGATTCTCTTAATAATTCCTTCCATAGGATTGATGTGGTCAATCCTATGAAGCCCATAATGTCAGATCCATGTATAAAGTCGTTGTCTTTTAAAAAAGGTACCTGCAATGAATATATCATTGAAAATACAAAATTCCATGATCCTATTTCTAGTCTCATTTCTCTCACAACAGTTCTATTTTTCAACTTCTATTTTTTCTTCACTTTTCCCCACTTTTATATTCCAGTTACCAACTATCATTAATGCATCTTGACTGCATACTTGGTCAATTTCAGAATGCAAGATCTGGTAAACATTTTTAATTTCTTTCTTCTTGGCTCCCGATGTAGGAGTGTATATTTGAATTATAGTAGTATTAATGAGCCTTCCTTGGATGTGTAAGGATAATATCCTATCGCTTACAACATTGTATTTCAGGCTATAATTTAAAATTACTTTTTTACTATGAACATACCACCATTCTTCTTCTGTTAATATTATATAATTATCTGACTCAAAGCAGCCAAAGTTAGTCCATCTCTTCTCACTAATGTCTAAAATGTTGATGTTCACACATTCCATTTCATTTTCAAAATTTCTAGCTTTCCAACATTTAAGCTAAGTACATTCCATGGTCTAATTATTAAATAATGTTTACCATTATTTTTTCTCATTTTGACCAACTTCCAATCTAGAATTAATCACTACTACTATAACTATCTGCATTCCTCTACTATTCATAGGGTTTTCAGAGGCAGATGGTCAATCCTGCTTCCTAGTCTATCTTAATAACACTACATGGTTTAAAATTAGGAAGGGAGTATGTCACGGTTGTATTCTCTCTCCCTCTCTAGTCAATCTGTATGTTGAGCAGATTATTCGAGAAGCTGGACTCTGAAGAATGTAGCATCAGGATCAGAGAGAGACTTAACAATAACCATTATACAGATAACACAACCTTGCTTGCTGAAAAGTGAGGAGGACTTCAAGCACTTATTACAGAAGATCAAAGAGCAGAGCTTTCAATATGGGTTACATGTCAATGTCAAGAAGACAAAGATTTTGTACCACTGGACCAACAGGCAACCTCATGCTAGATGGAGAAAAGACGGAAACTGTCAGAAACTTCATCCTACTTGGATGCATAATTAACATCCTTGGTACAAGCAGTCGGAAATTGGGAAATGCCTTGCACTGGGGAAGTCTGTGGTTAGGGACCTCTCCCAAATTACTGAGGAGTAATGATGTCAGCTTGAGAACTTACGTGCGTCTGATTCAGGCCATGGTCTTTCTGATCACTTGCAATGCATCTGAGAACTGGACAATGAATAATGCTGACAGAGAAAAATTGATGCCTTTGAGCTGTGGTTTTGGAGAAGAGCACTGAACATCCCATGGACAGCCGAAGAATAAACAAATGTGTCTTGGAAATGGGGCACCCAGAGTGCTCTTTGGAGGCAAAGATGATGAGGCTTCACTTCACATGTTTGGTCATGTTGCTAGGAGGGGCTACTCCTTGGAAAGGGACATGATGCTCAGAAAGGTAGAGGGTCAGTGAAAAAGAGGGAGATCCTTGACAGGCAGATTGACACAAGAGACTGCCACAGTGGGCTCTAGTGCATCAGGAGGACACAGTTCAGATCTGTTTAGATCTGTTTACAAAGTTGCTATGGGCCACAAATGACTGGACAGCACCTAACAACAACAACACCATAAACCCTTTCTTGATCTCGCTTAGATCCTACCTTCGTGACCTAATTTAAAAGCAGCTGACATGTACTTCTCCACACTCACCTGTCCTATGTACTCCCTCTACTGCCATCAAGTCTTTCTGAACTCACAGGAACCCAACAGGACAGAGAAGTGCCTTATAGGGTTTTAAAAGCTGTAAAACTTTATGGAAGCACACTGCCTCAATTTTCTCCTTCAGAGCAGCTGACAAGTTCTATACACTAAGCTTAACATTTTCAGCCAAGAGCTGCACTGCAATCCCAAAGATAACATAGTTTTAGTCCATCAGCTGGTCCGCAGGAGGATGGGCAACCTCCTCCCATGTGATTAACTACCTCTGAAAAGCTGCTGAAAGGTCAGCTATCTATAGTCTGGTTCTGATTAGACAGTACAATAACAACAACAACAATGCTTAATTATCCACTCCCTTATCCCATGTACACAACGCGATACAGTATATTACTTTGCCAATTCCAAGCATAAGAAATTACTTGAACCACTTAAGTCCCTCATATTTAGATTGTACATGATGAACAGCTATTCAATTCTCATGGCTTGTTGAAGATACATGTAAACACTGGTCCTGAGTAGCTGCTCAGTAATCTAAGCTGATGGAGAAGTCAATATTCATCATAACAGTGGCCCTACATCACTAAACAGGATCTGACTTGTACCACTTCCACTACTTTCCCTCTACTACTTGAGGGTATATCTCCCCCGCTACTCCTATTCAAGGAAAAACACCAGTAATAATTAAAACAAACAAAATTCTTTTCATTTCCACGTTAACAGTTAAGAACTTTCCCCTACTAGTCCGAGTTCAGTACCTGGTAATTTATCATTTCATTACAGTCAACAATTAAATTTCAGATACAGTAAATTCTATTAAATCTATTCTAGACTCTCTGCACCTCTTGGTAAGAAACCCCAGAGGCATAGTTTAATATGTACAGGGGCAGTTCAAATCTGTAAGGTGGTCCTTGAGAGAAAGATGGCCAGTCTCCTCTCATAAACACTTACACTTCTGAAAACTTGACGGAAGTCTGCTGTCAGAACTACAGTGGCTTTTACCTCTTGATATTTCACTGTAACAGCTTCCAAATTCATCTGCATAGTTACTGAGTTGGAACCAATCCACAGCCAACCCTCCAGAGGCAGTTAATCACATGGGAAAAGAGTGCTCACGGAGCAGCTGGTGGATGTGAACCATATGCTTTGAGGACTGCAGCAGAGCTTCCTGCCCCTATGCCACCAGAACTCCCTTCACAAAGCACAGAGATATATATATAGAGAGAGAGAGAGTGGTAAAAAAAGCTCCTGTTCTTGTTGAGTGAAGGCAGGAAACCTAGTCCAATTCCACACCCCCCTCATGATCGCTGCTCACTGCGACAGTCACTATATCAATTCATCTCACTGTCCTCTCTTTTGATCACGTTCTACTTTTTCAATCATGATGTCCTTTTCCAGGTACTGGCCCCTCCTGGTAACAGGCCCAAAGAGTGTGAGATTAAGTCTCCCCATGCTCTCCTCTAAGGAGAACTCTGGCTGCACTTCTTCCGACCTGATTTGTCCTTTTATACTTTTTGCCAGCACCATCATTCAAAGGCATTTACTCTTCTTTGGTCTTCTTTATGCATTATCAACTTTCACATTCATGTGAAGCAACTGAAAAGATACCATGGCTTGGATCAGGCACACTTCAGACTTTTAAACTGATGTCTTTACTTTTCAGTGCATTTAAGAGCTTCCTGGTAGCAGATTTACCCTGCAATGCAATCATTTGATTTCTTAACTGAAAATTTTATAGGGGTTTATTATGGATCTAAATTAAACTAATTCCTTGATAGCTTCAACCTTTCCTCCATTTGTCGGAATGCTGCTTACTGGTCTAGTTGTGAGAATTTTTGTTTTATGCTGATGTGTAATCGACAGTGAAGACTACAGTAGTGAGACATTAATGACCCTATACAATCGGATCCTTACTTTCTAGCTTTACCTCCATTTACTTCCTTAGTTTTTAATCGCTACATACAGAAGTTTCACTTATTCTTGCTATGTTGTCTTTTCCATGAATGCACTGAAGATTCTGATATTTACATGGTTATAATAACTTCCTTATTTCCTACAGCAGTACATTTTCTGTCCTTAACATTGCTACCTTACGCTGGCTTTGTCAGTGTTTCCTAAATGATTTCAAACTACTAGAACTGGCATTGTTATTTCTGAATACCAATGAGTTGGGACTGAACCACAACTGACCCTCTGGCATGTTTTCAGTGGCAGTAAATTGCACAGGAGGAGACTGCCCACCCTTTTTGTGGAGCAGCTGGTGGATTTTAACTGCAGGCTGTTGGGACTGCAATGCAGCTTCTTACCACTAGGCCACTCCTCCTGCTTGGAACATGTCCAAAATACCTCAGATGAAGTTTCAGAATCCTTGCCACCAAGGAGGAGCCTGGTTTCACTTTCTCCAGGATGAACCTATTTGTTTTCCTAGCATTCCATATACATTTTTTTTGCAAATATTATCTCAAAAACAATCAGTGACACACACACACACACACACACACACACACACAGCATTTTCAGTTCATCAGTAACTAAGAAAACAGACTAACCTTATTCAGTTGTTCTTCCATTCCTGGTATCAACATTATGCAAGCTACACATACTCCAACGAGCAAGAAAAGTGCATAAATCAGTCTAGTTACAGTGGAGTTGTTTCCACTAGGACAGCAACGGCACAGCAAGCACGGTGCGCTGCCACACAGACAAGGTATCTGGGGGGAAAAAACAGTATTAGTAAAAATCAGTATTGTTTAAAATGTTCTCTATTAATTCTCATTTAACGGGAGGAAACAACGGGGGAGGAACACTGAAAGAGAAAGTTAAGCACAGTAGCCTTTATCCTCTATATATACCAAACTGAGTAAGAATAGTTTTAACAGGGAGGGAGGCATAATAAGCAGAAATCAAGGTTAAAGTAAATTGCTATGGTTAAGTGCTGTCAAGTCACTTGTGACTCATAATGACCCTACATACAAGAGCTCTGAAACCTGCTCCATCCTGAGCCAACCTTACTGTCTCTGACACACCTACTCTCATTACCCTAGTCACTGAGTCAATCCATCTCATGGAGTCTTCCTCTCTTGTGAGGTCTCTCTTCACCCTTCCCAGCATGATGCCCCTTTCCAAGGACTGGTCCCTCCTTGGAACATGTCCAAAATACATCAGATAAAGTTTCAGAATCCTTGCTTCCAAGGAGGAGCCTGGTTTCATTCTCTCCAGGATGAACCTGTTTGTTCTCCTAGCATTTCATGGTATAATTAATACTCTTCTCCAGCACCACAGCTCTAAACCATCAAGTCTACTTTTTTCATACCTAGTCATTGGCTAGCTTTCTTACTCACAGCAAGTAACTGTAAAGTCTGTAGCCTGGAATGAGCGCCCCTTAGTCTCCAGACTGACATTGTTGCTCTTCAGAATTCTGGAGAGGTCCCTGAAGGCAGACTTTCCCAAAGCAATTTGTCTTTTGATTCCTAGCTGCTGTTACCAAGAGTGTTGATTGTAAAGCCAAGCAATCTGAAACCCTCTATCATGATGGTGTGAAGGGTTAGAATCTTTGTTTTCTTGATGTTGAGTTTCAATCCATATTGAAGGCTGCAGTCCTTGACCTTCTGTAGAAGGCACTTCAGGTCCTCCTCAGTTTCAGCAAGCTGGATTGTGTCATCTGCATAATGCAGGTTGTTGATGTGTCTTCCTCCAAACCTAATGCCACATTCTTCTTCATAGAGCCTAGGCTCCTGAAGTTCTGCACATAGACTGAAAAGGTATGGATAGGACACATTCCTGACGTACACCCTTCCCAATTTTAAATCATGCAGTATTTTCTTGCTCTGACAACTGCCTCCTGGTACAAGTATGTTGTTGTTGTTATGTGCCGTCGATTCGTTTCCAACTCATAGCGACCCTATGCACTACAGCCCTAAACCCTGCTCTATCCTGCGCCAACCGCATCGCCTCTGACACACCCATCCCTATTACCCCAGTCACCGAATCAATCCATCTCATAGAGGGTCTTCCCCTCCTGCGCTGTCCCTCCACCCTCCCAAGCATGATGTCCCTCTCCAAGGACCCGTCCCTCCTGGCAACATGTCCAAAGTATGTCAGACGAAGCCCCAGAATCCTTGCCTCCAGGGAGTAGCTTGGTTTAATCCTCTCCAAGATGAATCTGTTTGTTTTCCTGGCAGTCCATGGTACATTCAGTACCCTTCTCCAGCACCACAGCTCAAAAGCATCCACTCTCCTTCTGTCCTCCCTAGTCATTGTCCAACTCTCTGATGCATAACAAGCGATTGCAAATACCATGGCCTGTATCAGGCGCACCTTAGTCTCCAGAGAGACACTGTTGCTCCTGAGTACCTTAGAGAGGTCCCTAACAGTAGACTTTCCCATCGCGATACGCTTTTTGATTTCCTGACTGCTGGTGCCAAGAGTGTTGACTGTGGAGCCGAGCAAACTGAAGCTGTGAACACTCTCAATCTCTTCATCATCCATCCTGATGCTGCCAATTGGTCCAGTGGCGAGAATCTTTGTCTTCTTGACATTGAGCCTTAGTCCATACTGAAGGCTGCAGTCCTTGACCCTTCGCAGCAAGTGCATGAGGTCCTCCTCAGTTTCAGCAAGCAGATTGTTAATAGACCTTCCACCAATCCTGATGCCACAATTCTCCTCATAGAGCCCAGCCTCTCGGATAATCTGCTCTGCGTCACATAAGCATAATCAAGTGTTCTGGGATTCCCATTCTTCTCAGAGTCAGCCACAGTTTGTAGTGTTCCACACAGTCAAATGCCTTTGCATAGTCAATGAAACCCTGACAGACATTCCTCTAGTACCCTCTGCTTTCAGCCAAGATCCATCTAACATTAGCTATAATATCCCTAATACCACAGCTTCTTCTATACCCAGCCTGGACATCTAGAAGTTCTCTGTTGATGTGCTGCTCCAGTCATTTTTGGATCATTTTCAGCAGAATCTTGCTTTCATGTGATACTGATGACATTGTTCAATAATTTCTGCACTGTCAGGTCACCTTTCTTTGTAATGGAAACAAATACAGATCTCTTCCAGTCAGTTGATCACGTGGTTGTCCTCCAGACTTCTAGGCACAACTTGCTGAGTGTATCTAGGGCAGCATCTGTGTTGTTTGTAGAAATATGTCAACTGGTATGCCATCTATTCCTAGAGCTTTGTTTTTTGCCAATTCTTTCAGAGCAGAATGAACTTCTTCCTTCACCACCACAGGCTCTTGCTCATATGTTGTTTCATGACATTTTTCTGTGTCAGGCAATTCCTTTTGGTTCAGTGACTTTGTACTCCTTTTGTCTTCTTTTAATGCTTCTTGCATCATTTACTATTCTGCCCAAAATATCCTTAAGTACTGCAACTCAAGGCCTCAATTTGTTCTTCAATTCCTTCAGCTTAAGAAATGCCGAGCGAGTTCATACTTTTTGATTTTCTGAGAATCCAGCTCTTTGCACATTTCATTACAATACTAAAGTGAAAGTCCTTTACCCTCTATATAAACCAAACTGAATAAAATTAGTTATAACAAGGAGGAGGGCACTACAAACAGAAATCAAAGTTAAAGTAGTAAACAGAGAAAGAAAATATTTGTGAGTGGCAAGTTACTAAAGTCAATCTCTAGCCGTTATTTCCTAGTAATTATTCTGCTGAGTTCACAAAATTCTAACAATTCTCAAACATCCCTTAGGAGGAAAAGAAGTACATTGTCATCCTATGCTTCTCCTGATTTGGGTGTGGTGATGGTAGTAAAAACCACTATTAGTGTTGTTCATTGCAAGGGAGTCAATTTCAACTCAAACTCATGTGTTTGAGCTGAACTGCCCCATAGGATTTTCTGAGTTATAATCTTTACAGACTGGAGCAAACTGTCAGGTCTCGAGGACAGATGTCTCCAAGGTTGGAGTAATCACATGTATGTGAATATCCTGAGACTTCTCACCTGGACAAAGTTTAGGATTAAATTCATTACTTCAATGAATTAAAAAAAAACACAAAACAACACAAACAAACCCAAAAATACCTGTTCTTGAAAATCATTGTATATTTATTACATAACATTACACTATAAAAAGCAAAGTTAATACAGTTAAGTGTTTACTATGGCTTTATACATAGTGATTCATTTAAATAGTCAACAGTATTGTTCTCATCAACATGACAAGCAGCATGGGCAAAGGAGGGGCTACCATGAGTGGGGGGCAGGGCATGGACAACAGTAAAAATTTCAATCTTTGCCATTCATGGTAAGAAATAATAAACCAAAATAATACTGCTACTAGTAGAGAATATAGTACAAATATATTATTTAGAAATATGGAAGTAATAAACACTGACTCCAAAGAGTAGAAATGGAACAGTACATTTTCTCATTATAAGCCACAAAGAACTCTATTACAATATTAAAAATTTAAAAAAATCATACAATTAACAAAAGCTGAGATGCAAACCGTGTGGATTTTCCATCTCTTATAGCAATGAATCTAAAATTAAAGTGCCCTTATTCCAATTTCAATGTTTTCTACAGCCTTTTTCTTAAGCCTAGAGCAAGTATCTCAACCTCAGCTGAGTAGTTTTTTTAAAAATCAGGGATTATTCAGTGTATCGTCAGCCATTTAGCAGCAACCCTGTCATCTATTCATTAGATGTTACTAGCATGCCCATCTGGGTTATGACAACTGAAACTGTCTGCAGACATTGCCAAATGCTCCCTGGGGTTCAAAACTGTGTCCAGGGAGAACCACTGCTATAAAATCACCTCTTTAAAGGAATCGTTTTAGCAAACTCTCTTGACTTAAAAACATTTACTTAACAGTCAGAAATTCTAACATTCCTGTAAAAGTGATTTTATCTATTGCTCATCCATTTTCAAATACGCACTGAGAAAGAATGCTAGTGACAGAATTTCCTGTGACATTTTTACTTTAACAGTACTCGGCATAGCAGAGTACATAGCAGCTATGAACCAATGTGTTCAGAAATCACTAGCTTTTTTCTTAACTCATTATAAATATTTTCAGCTAAGAAATGAGAGTTATAGTACATAGTTAAAAAATAAATTCTATTCACTGATATGACTTCTGGGACTGGAAAGGAGGTAATATAGAAGATTTCACAGATGTTTATGTTAGGGTTTCATTTCAAACCAAAGAGACAGCCATGAACAATCAGTGTCAACAGTGTCATGAGCAACAAAGAATGATTAACTCTGAACCTCTGAAGAGGGAAAAAACCCACCTAAATGCAAACCAAAAACAACATTACAATCTTTGCACAGTATCACTTGTCATTTTTACTTTATCCTGTTATATTTTTTCATCTTCAGAAAAATGTCGTTAGAAAAAAACTTTTATAACTGATTAACTTGCAGACATGTGTGCTAAAGAACAAAAGGCATGCTACTGATTTTGTTTTACTCTAACTTGACTGACCTAACTTAATGATTCTGACCAGTTTTCAAAATTTGAATTACTGTTCATCAAATCATTTAAGCAAATAAGTATGCTGACTGTTAAGTATGTGTAAGAGATTGATTCAAGAGGACAAATTTTCTTATCTCCTGCTATCCATATACACTGAAACTTAAAAATTCAGGAAAACAGAAACAGCAGGACAGGAAAGGGGGAAGAAAGATGACTCAAACTGCATACTGGAAATTCAATTTCTAGTTTAGTCATAATGCTCTATAGCAATCAGGAGCATAATCTTACCTTGTCGGTGTGTCCAAGGTCTAATTATTGAAAGACAAGAGGTTATCTCCTTGCTACTAAAAAAACCCCTTTCTTATTACTAAAAGCTAGTTCCACTTAACTCATGGTGACATATGAGTGACAGAGCAGATCTATGCTCCATAGGGTTTTAGGTGGATGATTTTAGCCCTACCTCACCAGGTCCCTCTTCCAAGGCACCTCTGGATATACTCAATCTGCCCACCTTCATTTAACAGCTAAGCCTGTTCACTGTTTGTACCACCCAGAGAATACTAATACATACATACTCAATTACACAGAGACTGTTCCAACTCATAGCAACCTCTGCTAGGCTTTCAAGACTGTCAATCTTTATAGGAGACTGTCGATCATTCTCCATAAAAGGGCTGCCTAATTAAAACTGCAGACACTGATTATTAGCATGGTAACTAGGCCACCAGAACTCCAGGTATTACAAAATAACACAAATCTCATAAAATTTTTCTCACCTCCTAATATACCTTGCTACTAAAGAGTGATAACTGTATCCTTCATCTAGTTGATAAACTGGTAGTCTACATTACAAAGCAAACCTTGGAGCTTGGTGGCCTAGTGGCAAGGCAATGCAGTTCAAGGCCATCTCTACAAGAGGAGGATGGGCAATCTCCTCCTATGTGAATAACTGGCTCTGAAAACTCACTGGAGGGTCAGCAACTCTACGGTATACAACTGCTACTGAGTTGATTCTGACTCAAAGAGACCCCTCCCCCCACTAGATGGGGAGAACTGCCTAATAAGGTTTCCAAAAGTAAATATTTATGGAAGCAGTCTGTCTTAAATTTCTCCCTGAGAGTGGCTCATACTAGTGGACACTGACCTTTAAGTTAGAAGCCTAAGGTTTTAATCACTGCACCACCAGATAGTAATACAAAATTCGAGCACTTACTAGGAAAGAGTATTTTCTCCAAGGTGTTCAAGAAAAGTGGTTTGGGGGGGGGGGGTGTTTTATAATTTAAAGCACATTGCTGTTATGTGTCGTTCAAGTTGGAACCAACTCCTAGCTGACCATCCAATGAGTTTGCAGAGGCTTTTAAACTGCAAGAGACTGCCCTCCTATATCCCAGAGAGCAGCTGGTGAATTTGAACCACCTTATTTTTGAGTTGAAAGATTACCTCCCTACCCATTAGGCCGCCAAAGCTCTCTTTAAAACAAATATGTTGTTGTTATTATGCACCCTGGAATCAGGACCAGTTCATAGCTGACTCTTCAGTGAGTATGTTTTTCATAGGCCATAAATCACAGGGAGGAGACTGCCCTTCTTTCTCCTGCAGAGCAGTTGGTGGATTTTAATCTAGTGCCTTTTAGTTGTCAGCACAATTCCTTACCATTAAGCCTCTGGAGTGCTATGAAACAAATACACATATTTAAAAAATCCTTATACATTTTATCATAATTGACCTTGAGACCAAACACAAAGATTACTTGATATGTAGATCAAGAAAAAATGTGAAAAAATGTATTGCTCCTCATTAACATCTACTACAAAAAAGGCAACAGTATGATCACTTGATAAGTTGGCAAGATCTTGACATTAATACTAAATTACACAACATCATTATGATAATCATTTACTCATTTCTATGTATTAAACTAAAAATGTAGCTTTTGTAAAAATCATCTATTTGACCTATTTATTCCAGTTATGCAGATACACTAATACACTAGTAAGGCCTAATTATGAAAATATATCCCTTTTAGATACCTGCCTATCAGAAAAAAACACCAGCATAACCAAAAAAATGGTCTAGGACTGGAATAAGAAATCTATTATACATATTAGTTTATTAAATGTTAATGTTTATAGTTCAAACTTTATAAAAATGTTTTTCAAAAATGTGAGATATCTAGGGAGCCCTGGTGGCCTAGTGGCAAGAAACCGCACTGCAATCACAGAGGTATAGAGGTATGTGGTTTGAATCCAACAGATGCTCTGCTGGAGAAAGAGGGGCAGTCTCCTCCTGTACCAGACAGATCCGATTTGACAGTGTACTACACACACACACACACACGTGAGGTATCTGAAATAATCAATATGGCTGCTAATATATATATATAAAATGGACCTGGGAGATCAGAAAAGCACTTGTTAGAAGTGGAATTTAGGAATGTCAGATTAAAGCAATGGGATTTAAGCCCATATAATTCACATTAAATTATCTTTACCAACTACGAGGGGAGTTATCTTAAATACACTGGTTTATCTGTACCACTGAATAAAAAAAAAATGAAAAATCATTTAAAAAAACCATCATAACCAGGTGGATTGACTGCAGCAAAGGACTAGAGTGTGTTAAGAGATTGTGAGGGTGACACATGACAGGGTAAGATTCAGATCTACTGTTTAGAGGCTCGCTATACCTGTATTGACAGCACCTAATATGAAATCTCACATTATACAAAGATGTTTGTTTCATGCTGAAACATACAGAATATTAAAAACTAAAAAGTGGGTAGATTTTACATGTATATAAATCATTACATGAAAATTATCATTCTCTTACACCTTTAAAGCATTTAGAGGACTAGGGTTATTTACCTCCAAAAGGTATTACGACATCACTGTTATTGCTGGACCGTCACAAATAGTGAATAAATAAATTTAGGTCAAAACTGTCAACTGTCAGAAATAATAAATGCAGGTCGATATTGTCCTCTGTGCGAAAGAACAAAGGGGCCGAGAAGCCTCCAAAGATGACAGTGCTGCACCGCGAGGTCAATGCAAAGAGGTGAGCAGCAGAGACGGGTTACCCGTGAAAAGAGGCAGAAGGCCTCAGCAGATACGTCCTTGGCACATACATGAATAGACTGTAAGAGCGAGCTTATTGTTTATGGGAAGGGGGGAGCTCTGGTGGCGTCGTCCACAGGGAGCCGAACGGCTAAACTAAAGGGTCAGGCAGTTCGAATGCGCCTGCTGCTCTGAGGGGGGTAGATGGACAGTCTCAACCCGTGCGATATACAGTCTAGGAAAACCTGCTGGAGAGTCAGCTATGAGTCGGAACTGACTCCAAGGCAATGACACAGAGACAGAGTCGGGGGTGGGGTGGGGGCGGAATTGCCAGCTCTCCACCGCTTCCATCCGGATCATATTCCAACTGTAATTCACTGACGATCTGGACAACTATTTGCAAATCCCCGACCCTGAAGCTAACTCGGGATGAACAGGAGAAATAGGAAGAAAACGGGAAGAGCAGGCAGTCCCCGCTGGGTGGGGTCTGAGTCAGGTCTCGCTCACTTCTCGCTGGATCCCTCTCCTTTCCCTCCTTTCAAGTCAGATCTCTGGAGGTCGCAAAAGGAACCTTACCCAGCTCGCCATGGAGCACAGCCCCAGGACGCTCCCCATCTTCACAACGTCGTACGAACGGCAGGCCCCGACAAGATGGAGACAGCGTCTTTCTTGTCTTTTGGGACTTATTTACTATCCGGGAGGCACTTCCGGCTCAAACGTCGCCCCGCCCCTTATCGCTCGTCACTTCCTTTGAGACTAAAGTGAAAAAATGCGGTGTAGGAGCGTGGCCCTTGCGCGTCCTGGAATCCCAGGGAGTGGCTTGTTAGCGGTCCTCTGACCTAAAAGCGTTGAAGAACCGCAGGGCTGCTCAGTTTACCAAAAAAAAATGTTAAAAATGTAAAGAGAACCCCCTGTTAGTTACCATTTGCTTGAATTAGGACATGAGTAGAAGGTAGGGTTGAAATAGTGGTTGATGTTTTTTGCTCTCCCAACAGAGGAACCTTTCTTACCTGGGCTGTAGGGATTACTTTGTTTTATGCAGTCCCACCATCCTCTATATCCTATTTCCTCCCTTTTCCATCTCTTTCCCAAGTGACATTCACTGTTTGTTTGTTTGTTTCTTTGTTTGTTTGTTTTTTCACTGAATCTCATTGCCTGGGACAAAGTTTGTTGGGATCTTTCTGTTATTGTGGGTACTTTTCTTTGTCTCCGTAACTGATTGGTATTGACTGACTTAAATTTTTGCCCTTTTTAAAGTGACAAAAAGATTCTTCATTCAAAAATTTAAGTAGAAAGACATATTAATTATAGTAACAGGGCATGTTAATTATAGGAACTTAAAAGGAGGGATCTCTGGTAGCCAAGAGGCAGGAAGCTGCACTACAGTCCCAAGTCACGTGGTTCAAGACCACCGGCCCACTCTGTGTGAGAAGGATGGGCAGTCTCCTCCTCTGTGGTTAATTGCCTAGGTTCTGAGTACTTAACAAAGATACTAATTTTACTGAATGCTAAAGAGGTGTTTTGATGGCCACCTGTAGGCAGTCTATTTACAGAAGAGTTAACAGATTTTAATTTATAAGTGGTCCTTGAAAATATTGTAGGGGGAAAATTAGCATGCAAATAATATTTTCATTGACTTAAAGTGGCATTCCCATAACTAAAAATGAGAAAGTGCTGTGTAAAAATCTAGAAAAGACTACATGAGTGGATATAAGATAACACCTATGAAATTGGGAAACAGTTAACCAGCAGGAAGAGAAATGGATAGAATGAGTCTGCAAAAAAGATAATGCATTTGGTTTGTATATACTAAATTTGAATTCTCCAAAATACTATTTCTCAGCTGTTGAAATTGTAAGCTTAAAAGATCAGGAGTTAATGAGGTACAATACTAAATTTACATTGACTTTATTTTTTATACTGATCAAGGTAACCAAAGAGAAATGTAAAGAATGAGACTAAATTTTTTAACACCAGAAGATTCTGAAATGGAGAGAAGTCATTGATGTCATTTTTAACTTCTGTGACACTTGTCATCTCCTCTATACCCATCCTTCCCCAACCTTCTTACATCTTCTTGGAAAGAGTATACAGAGTTATTATACCAAAAGGAATTGGCAGACATGGAAAGAGTATACAGAGTCATTATACAAAAAGGAACTGGAAGAATTGGCAAAAAAACAAGGCCCCAGGAATTGATAGCATAGCAATTGACATATTTCAGCAGATGCTGCCCTGGATATGCTCACCAAGTTTTGCCAAGAAATCTGGACGACAACCACCTGGACAACTGACGCAAAGAGATCTATATTTTATATATATGGTTTTTTCCCCATCCCAAAGAATGGTGACCTGACAGAATGTGGAAATTATCGAACAATATTATTGCTGTCACATGCAAGCAAGCTTCTACTGAAAATAATCCAAAAATAACTAGAATAGCACTGCCAGGTGTGCAGGCTGGGTTTAGAAGAGGCTGTGGTATTAGGCATATTATAGCTAATGTTAGATGGATCTTGGCTGAAAATAGGGAGTACCAGAGGAACGTCTATTTGTGTTCCCTTGACGGTAGAGCACAATTGTGGCTGACTGGGAAGAATGGGAATCCTAAAACACTTGATTGTGCTTTTGCTAAACCTATACTTGGACCAGGAGACATTCATCAGAATAGAGCAAGGAAGCACTACATGGTACAAAATTGGGAATGGTATATGCCAAGTATGTGTCCTTTCTCCATACCTTTTCAATCTATATGCAGAACAAACTATCTGGGAATCTGGGCCCTATGAGTAGAAATGTAGCATCAGGATTGGAGGAAGACTCAGCAACAATCTGCATTATGCAGATGATACAACCTTGCTTAGTGAAGTTGAGGAGGACCTTCAACTCCAGCTCTTGCTATATAAGGTCAAAGACTACAGCCTTAAATATGGATTGAAGCTCAACATCAAGAAAACAAAGATTCTCACCACTGGGCCAATTGGCAGCATCATGATGGATGGGGAAGAGATTGAGATTGTTAACAGTTTTACTTTGCTTGGCTCCGCAATCAACACTCTAGGTACAAGCAGTCAGGAAATCAAAAGACGAATTGCATTGGGAAAGTCTGCTGTCAGAGATATTTCCAAAGTATTGAAGAGCAGCAATGTCAGTCTGGAGACTAAGGTGTATCAGGTCCAGGCTGTAGTCTTTGCAATTACTTGCTATGCATCAGAAAGCTGGACAATGACTAAGGATGATAAAAGGAGAATTAATGCCTTTGAGGTGTGGTGTGCTGGAGAAGAGTATTGAATATACCATGGCCTGCTAAGAAAATGAACAGTTTCTTCCTGGAGAAAGTTAAACCAGGCTGCTCCTTGGAGACAAGGATTTTGAAACTTCATATGACTTACTTTGGATATGTTGGAAGGAGGAACCAGTCCTTGGAAAAGGACATCATGCTTGGGAGAGTGCAGGAACAGCGCAAGAGAGGAAGACCCCCGATGAGATAAATTGATTCAGTAACTGCTGTAATGTGAGTAGGTGTATGAGAGACAGTAAGATTGGCACAGGATAGAGCAAGGTTTAGGGCTGTTGTACATAGGGTTGCTATGTTGTACATAGGGTTGCAGGCAACTTGACAACACATAACAACAATGTATTTTACCTTTAAGGATCTCAGTCTCATTATAGTTTATGCATCGTATAAGCTTTTGAGGATTAAATAGTATGACATGCTCTTATAAATGATAACACCATAAATAATGTGAATAGTCAATCAGGCTAGGTCCCTTTTCTCTACCAAGTATAGTTAGATTTTGTGGCTTTCCAACCTAGAACACACAATAGTATAGACCCAAGGGACTATTCACATTCACGGGGTATTTCCTCATATTTTTTTCCTCATACTTTAACTTATGTAATCAGGAAGAACCAGTTCCAGGGAAAATGACCTCATGCTTGGTGCATTTACTGTCTGTTCTGCTAAGAATAAGTTACTAAAGAAGACTAGATACAAAAAGGCAGAAGTTAACAATGTTCTAAATGTTTGATCTGCTGTAGCACTCCATAATTTCTTTTTTTTTTAAATTTCCTTTGTTTTTTTTTCTAGAATTATATTTTATTAATTTTCATAAACATTTACAGAGATTTTGGG